ATCAATAATATCTTTGCTTAATTCTCTTCACTCTGATGAAGCGAACTCTTTGAAAGTATACAAAAGTTGTGGTTGCTTCTTCAAACTTTTCCCCGAACAGTTATTTTATCTTTTTGCACAGAATACCAGCCGAAATTAATGATAAAATATGTGTATTTGAGGAAAAGTACAGAATGGCAAAGGAAAAACAATGAAGAGAGCCTCGTTATTAGAACATTTTTTCTTTACATTTCGTTATTTTCTCTGTGTAATCTAAAAATTATATTTAAAACGTAATAACGGTTTCTTTAACATTCGATGCTAATTAATCACTATCATTTTAATACTCCTCTATTTTAGTTCTGTTGTTTTTTAGTGCAGTAATGAATTATTTATTCCTTAATGTCTTTTCACGTGTTGCTCGCAGCATGCAAGATGAACGAGGAAGTATAATATACCTGCTGTCTTGCGTCACATATGAAGGCCCGTTAGTTATCGAATGAAGACCACTAGATAGAAACTGATAGCAGGAAAGTCCCGTACGTGTCTACTGAGAGTGGACGAACAACATTTTGCTTATTTTTTGTCGTTATATTTCAATTTTGGAGGTTACACTCAAACCTATAGTTGCAAACAATGCCGCAAACGCAATTATGATAGAGAAACAAATGTGCTTGCCAACATTGAACTGTGATCATTTGTATCCTTTAAAAATAACCGACTTACACTGCAAATGCAATTCTAAAAAATGCATTGGCAAAACGTTTCAAAAAACAATAATTTCATTAGGTCCATTATTGGCGTTTTAACCCAGGTGAATTCTAATTCGAAAAGTAACCGACCAAAGAACAATCATTTTCAGGTGAAACACATCTTTCAAAATTTATCTTTTAAACTAAGAATATATGTTAGTGTTGCCCATATTCACAAATTGTCTCGTAATCTCTGTAATATCGCAGAGGAAAGATGAAGTCCATCCTCTAAGGTCATCCGTCGTTTCGTCCATCTGACTTTTGACGAAATATTACGGCAATCACCACCAGCAGTACCGTCTCCTCTGTCGTCACTGCCATCGTCAACGGCCCCGCCACCTCGGTGTTCATCGTCATCGTCAACGCCGTCGCCGACAATGCTAACTCTTCCACTGACAGGAGAACCGCTTCCACCAATATCACAGCCGTCGCCGTCACCATCATGACCGCCATCGCAACCGTCATCTCGTAGCCATCGCCAACGCCACTGCCACAACCATCATCGTCATAGCCACGGCCATCGCCATTGCCACTTGCCACCGGCAAGCCCATCATCAATGACATTGCCCGACATGTCCACCGCTACCCTCCTCGAATCCGTACCGCCCCGCCTATCGCCACAGTGCCCGCTTCACGCCTACCGACCCCGTCGCTGCCGCCGCCGCCTCCGCCGCCGCTCGCGTCGCCTCGGGCGTCGCAGTCTCCAGCGCGGCCCCGTCGCGCTCTCGCCTGGCGGTTCGCCAACGGTACAAGCACAAGGCGCGTCTCGGCCGCCCGGCCCGGCCGCCACGCGCTCCTCCGCGGTCGCGAACGCAGGGGTCGCGGAGCAGCGCCTCCGCCCCCTCTCCCGCCTTCATTCTGGCTCTTCATCGGCACATCGGGGGTCGTTCATCTTCCGAGATTGCATCTCCCCGACTTCGTACCGCGGGCGGTTTGTGAATTGCATTGTCGAGCTCGGTATCGTAATGTGCTTTGCGACAAACGACTTCTACTGTTTGCCTCTACGATTACGTTTCCGAAAATTTAAGACCAAGGCTCCGAAAATATGAAGGTGAATTTGTGAATTGGATTTTAAGTAAATTATTTTGCAAGGCACGAGTTTCTACGTGCACTGCACGCAATATATATATATATATATATATATATATATATATATATATATTATAATTATATCATATGGTGTGCTTCTATATATGTAATTGGTTTCTCTTATTGAAAGGAAAAGTAAGGATATGTATGGGGAACGGTATAAAAGATTATGTAAGAGGAATGAATTCCTAACAGTAAGAAGAGATTGGTTTCGGAAATTGCAGTGGCAGGTCAGCAATAGCATGTTGTATCATCGGTGAGGGAAAACCTGATTATCTACGTAAGTATACAAACGTGTTTATTACATAAGCGGGATAAGATCCAATTGTTATTCAAAATTGTTAATTTTTTCTATGTAATGACGACAAAACCACTTTCGCCCTTGAATATTATAGTAACACAACAATTCGTTCCAAAATGCGTGTTTCCAATAGACTTGAAGGCAACACAAACCCATACTTATTTTCATAACGAGAACACGTGAGAAATTAGGCATTTGAAACGCTCAATAGACACGAAATACACATTACATAGGAGTATCTTAGCAATATATATTTAATTTTCCTTTTCATTCGGGAGAGTGAATAGCTAACAGTTTCTCTGTCTCAAGATTTGTATAATTATGTCAAAGCTACTTTGCTTCAAAATACAACTCGCAACAAAGCACGAATAACCGTACCAAAAACTGCATGGTAATATTTCTGTAAAGTGAACGCGATTTTTGTATTCAAAAAGAGAAAGACAAGAATAAATCTAAACAAGTTCAAGAAGTGTTGCATTCGTAACATGTTTCATTTTTACATTACATCATAAACATTCATGTTTATTTGCCCTCTAAAAATGAAATAAGTATGTTATTGATAATTAACATTTAATCAGTTTGGTTCATGATATATATTTTGTAACGAATTGATTATTAGATTCAACAGTCATTTATTGTAAACGTTTTCTCACTCATTTACTTTTTTATTTTGCGTTTTAATAGTAAAACAGTTAATCTTAACACGCATCAGATTAATTCTGTATTACTCAGATATTATTGAATGCAAATTACTTTATTATTATTATTATTATTATTATTATTATTATCCAACACGTTGTATTATTTCTTTTCCCAATTATTCACGTTATGCTCAGTTTAGCATTATATTTACATCGTATGAATTCATAACCCTTAAAAATTAAAGACTCGTCCTCTACCTAAATCACAGAAACACACACACGCGCGTGTTTTCATGGAAATACAATTCATGAAGACAAAATATTACGAAAGTTCTTTGATATTAACAGGTGGACAGAATAATTGGGCCTTTAATCGGTCTTAAGATAAGCACATAGCATAACGTGCTAGTATGTATAACGATCGCAAAAATCGATAGATCAGAGAAACGATCTCAAAGAAACAATAGCGTGACTTGACTCCACGAATACTGATGCCTGATTTATGCATCTCGGAGTTCATTTAACTCTTTATTCTCTCAGTACATTTCAAAAATACCAAGTGGTAGGAGACTCAAATTCATAAATAAGTTAGTTATTTACTATTACTATCACACATCATCTCAAAATCAATGAATTTGTTTCACCGGCATGTTTCTGTCACTCGATTTTATCTCACGCAATAAAACGTGCATTATTCTTGCACAGTGTTGTGATTAAAACGCAAACGTTTTTCCCACAAAATGATACTCGTTGCCGCATTGAGACCAAAACAGCAACAAATTACAATTCTCGCGAATATTCTGACGAAAGGCTAATTAGCCACTTGTCGGAGGGTTTCAAAGAGTCTAGAGAGCTTCTTTGACGAGTGTCTCTCCAGGGGTGAACCGGACATCTGTGACAGGCGGCGCAAAGGGGTAGGCGGAACAATTCAAAAGCGGGGGAGGTCGGCACCTGTGCTCCCGCAGTACCTGTTCGCGCTCGCGGCCCCGCTGTCAGGCCACGCCGCCCTAACGGGCCACGACGCGCGACGGGACGGCTGCTGCTGCCTACCTGCTCATGGTGCGGGCACCGCCGACCGCAGCCTCTCGTTGAGCCTCGCGGGTCACCGCCACCGCCGCCGCCGCCGCTGCCGCCGCCGCCGCCGCCTGCGCGGGTGGACGGCCGCGCGCCCTCCTCCCCAGCACCCCTAGCATATCCACCGCATGGCGATCATCGTAGAAGAAAAAAAACAATAACAAACACTGCACTCGCGGACACGCACTACTGTCTTTCCCGCCGCTCTTGCACGGGGCGGTCCCTCTCGAGCCGCTGACCAGTGCACGCACCGTGGCCCGCGCGGCAAACAGTTCACTCTCCCAGGACGCGCTTCACCTGACTGCCGCCGGCCCACCGCGCCGAGGCGAGCACACCTGCCCGCCAGCCGCCGCGGAGGCGCGTGCGCGCGGCTCCACTTGCGCGCTATCTGTCCTCTGCTGGCACAACTAGTACATTAGCAGCGCATTCTGACGCCGTGTGGAGGAACTATTTGGAAGACGATGCCCATGGCCCATGGTAATGACGACCGACGCAACAGTTAAACCAGCGGATTTGAGGAATTAGAAGGACGCACGAGAATATACTTAACAAGATCGTGCATTCGTTAACACTGCACAACAATGTGCTACAACCTACTTAATTAGGAATAAACTCACGTCTAGGACATTTTTCATAACGACGTCGTCTTTCGAACGACGAATGATTCGCATTGGCAAAACTACGAGTATAATATGTTCAAAGAATAGAGAAATTCAATAATATATGGTCCCAGCAGATGTGCATATTTTCATGTTAAAGCGTAGGCATTTCATCAAACATCATTTCTAATCAATGGGAATTATCAATGTGAAATGAGGTTTAGGAATGGTGAAACACACCGGCAAAGTTCAATTATTGTTCCGTTCCCGAAAAAGTCTGCTTTTAACAGCATTTAATGGACAGATGGATCTGTTATGTCATTAATTGGATGTTCATGTTAAAATTTCCGCAAAATTACCTTTTTTCGTGAAATTATCTTACTTTATCCTTTGTGAAATATGGCTACCAAATAGCGTTAACGCTTTCAGGCATGAACGCTTTGGTCTGCATGCTAACATCCTTTTGTACTTGTGACAAAACAATGGGCAGAACCCCCCCCACACACACACACACACACACAATGCACAATTGGATAACGTAACAAAGAATTCCACCGCTAGCTATCATTTTTTTAAAAATTCAATTCAATTTTATTTGTTTAAAGGATTCATCTGTTACAATTTTCTGTATCAAGCGCACAGCTCAATCACAAACATATTACAAAACACTTTCGATAATACATGTATCATATTATTTAAGAAATGCATAGATATTCGTTAATACTAATTTATTTTATAAAATTTATTTTAAAGTTTCTGGATCGTTTTGATACACAAAAGTGAATAAATAAACAAACACAGATAAAAAAGTTTAGATAAACAAGACTTACAAACGTACACAAAACAGTTATTCGTAATTTTTCCATAGTATCAACCTAGTTCGTGAAACATTGAAAAAGCAAAACAAACTAACTTGAATACAACTAAAATTGCATTTCTTTGGCATGCTTGTGCTTTTGCGGACGTTCGTATTACCAACATGATTCCACAACGTGTAGACGAGAAACTATGCTGGCTTCAGTGTTACACACGAGATCATTGCAGCGCGGCGCGTGTTTAACGATGGGTGTTTACGTTAATTGATTTGTAAATTTTTTTACGCTTTAACTTATTATCGTATTTTTATAGAAAAAGACAGCGCCGAAAGTGAATTTTCTGTTATCATAAATTAATATATACTCAATCAAAAATGGTTGCATGAAATTGTATCTTGGCAATTTGGGACAACTCTAGCTCTGAGGGTACTTTACAAGAACTTCAAAAGAAATCTGATATTTCACATTTTATTTGATATTTTACCATACAGAGGGGCGGGAAAGCTCTGTTATCGTTATTAAACTTGAAGTATAATTCTGTGACTTCTGTAGTTCTATCACTGTAATTCTGCAAATGATTACTATTTACATATACCATCATTTATTACATTTATGTTTTAATAGAAGTTCAATTATTAATTCAAAACGTTACTGATAAGTTTTTTATGCTATTATTAATTATAATACACATTTACGAGTATATTCAAATTTTATTGAAAATACATTAACAGTACAAAATATTTTCATAGAACAAAGTCTTGGTGACTATTAAAGCTGCAATTCACAATAAACTAGTCTATATCTCTCTTCCCAATTCCAATGTTCACTTACATTTCAAACGAAACATGTAACTCAAGGAAATCAGTCACATGATTATGCATTTGAATAAGCGATCACCGTAGTTGATCACACCAAATAGACGGTCGCACCTGTAGTTCAGACGACCACCACCATTAAAGCAATTAAGTCAGAGCCAACATACTTTTTCTTCTATAAGCTGTGTTGATAATGAGGAAGAGTTCAATTGCTCGAGTTTGGTATGTAACGCTCTGAGTTAGCTAATAGGCTCAGTTTCAGTTAAATCATTGAGCGATGAATAGTAAAACAAAACTATATCATAAGAATCGCGAAAACAAGAAATGTCATATTTGCTGATACTGGTGTTCCAACGACAACATCGGCGGTGCTTAATGCCAACGTTGAACCCTGCCGAAAGTACCGCGAAAACAAGAAGCGATGCAAAGCAGATTTGTGCTCTGCTTGTCTGGTTGCACCATCTCTGTCACACTTTTGACGTTGTACGCAGCCGAAAGTATCGCGAAAACAATAAAACAGACATTTCTTTCGCATCCTCATATGTGTCTTCAACACCGCTTTCAAACGCTGACTGACATCGTAATTACCGAACAAGCAAAGTCATACAAAGCGAATTCCAGGGTGCTCTGCCAAAATCTCATGCCGAGTGAGAACGTTTCGCGCAATGTTATTGTGGCACGAATTTCGATCCACATAAACATTTCCATGCACTGGGTTTTAAGGTATGACCAAGTGAATTTTATTTCGTTCTTAGTTAATAATTTTTTACCGAGTTATTTGGGTTACTGTGGTTCCGAAATGGTTAGTGATACGATTGGCGATAACTCTGAAAAAACTGTGTGAAGTTCTGAGCGACTGAGAAAGTGGGATTTTGACTTTTTAGGCAATTCACTCTTTCCTCCTTAGTCTGCATTGTTTGATAATGGTGTTTAATATACGGGTATGGCTTCAATAACCAAAGAAGGTGTTCCTTCTCATAATTAGGAGTCTCTACTTTCTTCAAGTGGTTATTCTCAATCTCCCTCAAATTATATAGCACAATCTGAAAAAAATTGAATAAAATTTTTATTAAGAATAATGAACCAACGTTAACATACAAAACTATTTGCAATCATTAAAGAACGTGGGTATTTTTTTCCTCTTTAAATGTACTTAATTCATTACAATAAATATATGCATAATCAAGCAATATTCATTGACAATACTATTGGGTACTATCGGTACCAGTGGAACTATATTACACGACAAGAACTCAACACTTTAAACTTTAAATTATTTTCCCCTCGAAAATCAATAGAAAGGATTTATGAGTACTATTCTAAGTTATATTTGTATTATGAACTCTACAATTTACAATATTTATAAATCAAATTGAATTTTTGCAAAAACGAAATTCTTAACAGAAGTTCTCAGACTTACCACAAACAATGTTACTACCAGGCCTCGGAACAGGTCGTGAACGTTCATAATGTATTCTACACCAGCAAGTGCAGGAAATATTCTACATTGATGGACAACGAGGTCGTCTTTTTAAATGCTGTGTGTTTAGAGTTTCAAAGGTGAAAACAGTGATTCAGTGCAACGAAATGCAGACGTAGGAGTGAAACATCCTTTCACACTCACTGTACATCACCATTGACGCATGCCAAGTTTTAAGTGTCCCAGAAAAAAAAATTGATTCATCGGTTTATTATGACTCCCATCATATCTACTCCTCGACAACTCCTAGAAGACTGTTAACCAATAACTGAATTTAATTTAATTTCATTGCCAAGTATGGTGAAATTAACACAATTTTACTTAGTTTTCTTTCTCGGTTTATTTTGTGAATTTCGTGTTTCTACTAACTACTTAGGCGCTACATGTGTACAGAAACTTACGAATATTTTTTATAAAATAATAGCGATTCAGATCTCACACACATTTCTTTGGATAAAGTTATTTAAGAAATGTGGCGTTTTGAGATTTTATTGTTTGCCGACAGCCTTGACCATGCGCACCTCGACCATGAAGAATTGCTGATGACAGCTCTGTTTTAAAAACTCAGTCGTGGCAACGATATAGCACGCCAACGCATTGCGAGAAGATTATAGACTTAAGTTTATCAAGAAAGAGTCAACAATGGAACTTCTATTGTAGGGAAAATACCAACCGTAAAAACAAGAAAGTTGATATAAATCTATGTTCTAAAAAATATTTTAAGGGTTGTTGTTTGACAATATTGAGGTGTTTATTCATATTTCTAGTATCTTCTTTTTCTATTTCTTTCTTCTATTTCTAGTATCTTTCCATACTACTTCTTACACTTCGTGTGTTGCAATAATTTTACAATCTGATTTGCATTTTTACAAATCGGAGTGTAAAATTATTACAACTGGAATTGATAATCATCTTGACGAAACTTAAGTGTTTCATGGATATTGCAATATAAGCAATATAAAAGGAATTCATATTTAGTAGCGAACGCTTGCTGACGACAGTGGCGAAGACTAGTGGGGGCGGCAGGAGAGGCCCGTCTCGGGCAGCAACTTTAAAGCGCGACAAAATTGCACAATAAATAATAATAATAATAGTAATTATAATAATAATAATAATAATAATAATAATAATAATAATAATAATAATATATTGTAAAGTTTTGAACCTTTTCATTTCATTTTTTTGTCGCACTTACGATTCGAACCTATTGAAATGAGCATGGAATCTGTCATTACTAATTCTGTGATGACTTTTTTAAAAATAATATATAATAATGACATCTTGCTCACTGTAGCGACTGCCACGCCGTCTGTACTGACTTGTAGGGATTCCCCGTATTTTATTTGTGCTTGGATTGTTTATTACTCATATGCAGCGAGAATGACTCCCATCGTTTGAAAAATAGTATTCTATATTGTATAATAAAACCTGCTAATTAGATTACAGTACGGATAAGTCCCTTCAGAGACGTCCGTGAGTGATTCTTTGACAATTCAAAGAAACTTTCATTGTCAGTCAGTCAGTTGTCCAATTCACATTAACTTAATATTACATGCATTAACTAATATATGTAATCGCTTTCCAAACTGTGATTTTAGTTCTCATAAGTACGTGTAGTAATTGTTAAATTACTGAATATTGATGAAAAATGTTATTGTTGGTGTACGAATACATTCGACTATGTATTCAATATTTTATTTACGTTTATTATATTTACATTTGAATATATGCTAGGTTGTTAACTCATGTACATTTTAGTCTTTTAAACCTAAATAAGAAGGCGGCAAAATTTTCACCGCCCGGGCGGCTGACACCCACGCTCCGCCACTGGCTGACGATATTTTCAATACGGAGGGTGACGCTCGTCGGAGATATTCAGATACGGGAGGCAGAATTATCAGGATTTCAAATATTGTGTATGCTGCAGGGTAAACTTCATGTGCAGTTAATTTTTTTATGTGTAATGGAAATATTATAAGTAATAGTGTTCCTTTTTGTGGAAACACAACGTTTAACCTAAGCGAATGCAAAAACCAGTCAAAATAGAAATGTCCACCCGAGACATTCGTGGGAGTAACCAATTGTAAATAGTCTAATATTATTATGTTTAATAATCAGTTTACATAGTAGACTAATTTTATTAGGTTTAAGAAATTGATTTTATTCATTTAATAATTTTATTGGTATCACGGGAAATTGATATTCAGATTAGAGAGCGACAATTTTCAATTCTGACATCAAGATACAGATGATTACCGACGGACTTCAAGAATCTTCGTGTGAAACTACTCGTCAGCGTCATCGCAGTCTACAGCTTCGTCTCAAATTGCAAGCGTCGCGGAAAACGTCGAACAAATAAAGGTAACAATTCTTTGCAACGAGAATATCGAATAGGCATTTAAAAGCCCTAAGAATGAATATTTCAATAAAATGACATGCCAACAAAAGTAATTGCACAAAAGTAAGATTTGAAAATACAATGACAAAGTTTAATTAAGAGAATATTGAATTCAATAAATTATGTAAATATTTTTATTGTAAAATGTAATAGTTAGACTTCGCAGGACAATTCAAACGCTATGGTTTTAATGATGAAACAAAGCACCACTTTACAGTTATATTGAATTAAATAAACAGATTTCACTGAATTTATAAAATGTCACATATACCGTTCTAGTTTTCACCCATTCAAATGAATTATATTGCTTATTTTAATTAATGGTTCAAATGTCTCCAACATTCTTTAAATTCCTGCTACTAAGACTTTGAAATTCATCAAAAGAAATTCCGTGCTAACACCCTTTCCTTCTAAAGCCGTCGCAATATCTGAACGTATGTCGCAATATCTGAACGTATGTCGCAATATCGACTTCACGGCATTTCATGGCGATCGAAGGTTGATGCTGCTCGCTCGGACTAGCGCCATAAATAAACCCAATTTGCCTTTATATGCTTCACTACGCCTCCTATACACACATTTATATACTACAAGGAGCTTTGACTCCCTCTTCCGGTACGTCATCATTCTTGTGTCCTCCCCGGGCTTGTTTATTTTCCCGTCGCCCTGACAACCTTTATGCATAAACTTCACTCCCTCAATATGCGTATAATGAAGCGTATCAACATAGTATTTAATTAATATTATATCACTATTTTATGTTAATAAAATGGGGAGGATCTCTGCCTCGTCACAGGACTGTGACAGGTCTCCAGTTTTACTCAGGGGAGTAGTCGACGCATATATGTGACCAGGTGTCTGCGAGGACTTCAGTGTAAAATATAGATTCAATAGAAGTGAGTGACCCGTGCAAATTGTAAAACAGTTTGGCGTCCGACCATGGAAACAACCCCTCGCTTCCACTTGCTATGTTATCAGCCTTAGAGTTAAATCAATGATCAAACTACCCTTGTAAGACTGCCCTTATAATTGTTTGATGAATTCTCATGTAAAAAAATATTATTAGACTTACATTAACATAAGCCTATCCATTTGACGTTACGCTGCAAAAAAACATTTTAACACCTTCACAATAGTAATTTATCCAATTAGTTTATAATGTTAAGCTTTATTTGCATGAGTACATGTTTTGAAAACGAGCGACTTTAGGAACGAATTTTCAAATTTGTACGAATGTAATAAAGTATTATAAACGAGTTGCATACTATAGTTTTTTGTATAACAGCATTATACATTTATAAGGTAATCAAACTTAATTTTGTGAAACAACTTCCCTGTGACGTATCGGGTTTTTGACAACGTGCGAGTAAACGGTGGTCGACTGTTCCATTTAGCTCTACCTCCCCCCGATTCTCTCGCTACAATTGTGTGATGACGCAATCATTCGTGACATAAAATCTAATACAATATTTGTGCCGTAAAATAACCGATTATGAACAATTTCCTTCGACAGAAAAGGTTCTTTTATAATGCTGGAATACAAAAAAATAAATTTCTGTGAATATTAATCAATACACCGCGTACTGGTAACTAGCTGAACACGTGCGATTATGCGACGAGACCCATAGAAAAGTTACAATAAGATATTGTACTTGCCGGATCGAAAAACTCAATAATTTTGTTTTATTTCGTACAGAAGTTATTTTCCAAAACAAATGAATTGAGGTTTGCAAATTTTGGAACAATATAATCACTTCTCACAGTGAACACAGTTCCTTAAACATGTTTCTGAAAAAGAAATTGAAATGTTTTATATTTACCAAGATCTGCACAGAAACACAGTTGTGACCTACATCAGGAAAACCTGCTTTCCACTGCAACGTGAAAACCTAATTCATTAGCAGTGATCTGTATAATAGTAACGAGATCATTGTTCATAACGAAGAATATATTCACTGAACATTTTCGGAAAGATTGCTGGACATTCCGCGTAGATACACTCACAAATCTTGGGATTTAAAATATTCCTTAAGCTTTAAACTTCAGAAACTCGCTATTAAACGTTGACTGCTGTCGATATATCAATTGCAACATGCGAAACAAAATGACCAACACACTATATGGAATGTACAATAGTAGGTCTGGAAAAATCCTCACAAACAAATGACAGTAGATAAGCATTCATTCTATTCATTTTATGATATTAAAATTCAGGGTTTTTAGCTGTAAATCGAGTTAATAAAAGCAATTAAAACACATCTAGAGCCAAATATCTTTCATTTATGGATATAAATTACATAAGTTAGATTCCATAGAAAGTTCTTTCGAAACGAAAACGTGTTTTTAAGAAATAAATAAATAAATTTGTTCAGAATTGTCAACCGAATCGGAAATCAAACCTGAGTATCCTGCATTACGCCCAGTTGCTGTACCCACTGAACTACCCAGATGGCCAGTTCTTTGATTAACATTTTATCATTTGATTATTTGTTTGATCATCATATGATATTCAATTATTACCATCCTGTCATGATATTGCCTCTCCCGTAAGGTGACAGGGTGGTGACAATTTAATGTTATATGTCAACATTACTATTCTGTGGAAAAAAAATAGACAATTGTGTATAATTAAATTTTCTTTACTCCATAAAAGTAAGGGAGCTCTGTTCCCTTTAGCTTGCCGAGAGAGTCTGCCTGTATTTCCTATATTTTTTTTCTGCCTTCGACAAATACTATATCATCTCAGAATAAAACAGGTTTCTTTGAAAACAATTTTTAAAAATAAACTATCTTTTCACTTGTAATATATAACTTTTGTATAAATTCCAAGAAGAAGTGAACTTTTTTAAACTCGAATTATGTTAAGCAATACCAATAAGATCCTTTCATCAATGAAAAATTCTTATGATCATTTCACACTTTAAACTAGCTTAATGTGGCTCCTCTGGAAAGTAATTTCATTGTTTTATTTGTGTTATGCAAGTTCCAATAGAACATAGTAAACATACATTTTCAATACTACACAGTTGCCAGGCTCATCTATCCTTGGGCACCGAGAGTTACATGAAAAAGTATTGACATAAAAACATCGTTAAACATGGTTGTACATCATTACCTAATATAGCTACAACTATTATCAATCTTATGAATCATGTTTTGAGGATTCAGTATAGTTATTTCCAGTATTTTACCTCTTGAAAAAGGTGTCTTTAACCCTCCTTCCTTCCCATAAAGTTTTTTAGAATTCTTTCACAGTTTTCTATAATAATTCAGTTAAAATGCCAATCATTTCATCTTGTAAAGAAATTAAATGAGTGGTTGGTCTCATTTGTAGGAATAATAAAACTCCACAAAAATATATTTTAAGTGCTATCTCCCTTCCCCTGCCCCTTCCAAACTCCATTTTTTGATATTTCTCTTATAATATGCTCAAAGAATCCAGAAAAAATTATCATTTTTCCTCCACTGCATCATTATACATTGAATGACACTTTGTTTGTCCCAAGCATTGAACTGGAAGACTTCCAACTATGGGTAAAAGACAAATGGTCAAATACAAATAGGTTGCCCAATAGCTTATGAATAGGATTACCATTAATTTTGTACTTCTATTCTTATTATCAATTTAAAATTATCTTGTTCTTCTTCATTCTTTTGAAACACAAATGTCTTGGAACTCAATGACAACCATCCACAAAAAACAGTAACTGAAAATAATAAATTATGTCTTTTACGTTCAAACTTTCGGCATGCTTTTTTCTCAATATCATACTTTTGAAAAATCATTCCACTCAATAACCTGAAGAAGAGTAAAATATCAACAGCAAACTATATTAAAAATTATTGTTATAACACCACGTTTGTTAAATAAGCCGTATTTTAATTTTTCAATTCTGAATAAATTCAGATTTACTGAAAATGTTATTCTAATGCAGATTTGTTAAATACACTAATTTTTCAGTTCTTTTCTCTTCCTGAATTATTTGAAATTACTGTATTATTCTCATATTAATATTTACATCTCAAATTAAATCACAAAAATATCTCGAAGAATGAAACTCTATGATCAATTCCAAATAAGAACAATTAATTTCAGGTTTGTGTCCTTATGAAATAAATACAAAAATATACTATAGTCATTATTTGAATACTAAACAACTTTATTATACATTTATACATTATGAACATTTTAGATACATTTTTAAGAGCTTCAAAATATTACAAGCAATTATGTTTCTTCCAATTTGAAACAAAATATGAACAATAATACTAATTACTCCATTGTATGTGGTTAGAATAAACTCCATGAAACATTGAAATCAAACAACACTCCATTTATCTAACGACAAAATTATTTGTTTTCCTGAGTAACTTTGCTGTGCCTTCCAATCTATGAGGTGCAATAAATATTATATTTGTGTATTTAAGGAACAGTGTTAACTTAAATATCTTTGATTTCTATTTGGTAAGAATGTTAAAAATATACACAGCTCTCACAACAAAGAAGATGAAGAAAGGTATTGTACATATAACTATCAAAATCTTATGCACATTGTATACATCAAATAACACAACATAACAAACATAGAATAACATGTTATTCACAATGTAACATTATAAGCATTTGGCTCATTGTAATAATAGAACATCTCAAAGTAACAAAAAGACAATGAAAGAATATGCCCAAAAAGTACCTTATTGAACATTGCTAATCATTCAATATCATCATATTTTATTGCAGAATTTCATCAGTTGAAAATTACACGATTTTTCCCTCTTCACAACAATATCTCACACAATTAATACAATAACAAGCAAATGCAAACCAATTTATTAAATTTGTTTTGCATGCATTAAAAATCTCCAACAGCAATATTAAACATCAAATTAGTTACTTTTTTAATACAACAATTACTGGAACACTTTCACACAATTTTGTTATTCTGATGAAATAAAATTCATGCCATGAAAAGGTAATGATATTTCTATAAACAATGTTGAAATTTCATTAGAAATATTTTTTCTTATGTATTCACCTGATCAACAAAGAACCTAGTTTAAATGTTGTCCTTCCTTATCAGGAGTAGAATGTTTCTGATTGCTATTTGAAATTATTTAGTAATGATGAAATCACAATTATATGCCACATTAAAGTTTTCATAATTTGAAATTTTCACTTTTAAAACAACTGTTCTGTATAATTAATATGTTATCTAATGCAATTTTTATGTACTTGTATTTTGCATCAAATTTCAGATTGTTCGCACTCCACAAACAAATTATGTATATATTGTAACAAATACTTTGTAAAATTAAAGAACTGTTTTGTACCCAATCCACTGAACAAAAGATCTAAAGGACTAATCTTAGCAAACTAGATTCTTGGTGGGGAAATAATCAGATTATTTAGAAAAGACGTTATCATTGATATTATTCTTTGAAAAATATTACCAATGTTGGAAACACAAGAGTAAGCCTCAGAAAAACTGAATCCAGTTTTGCATATGCAAAACATGGTAAGTATTAGAGACAAGGAAAAGATGTATTTTCTGGAGTGGAAACAAAAATGTTGAATGCTTAAATGGCTATCTGGGGATTGTCATCTTGTTGTCTATGAAAGCACTAAACGATCTGTGAAATAAGCTCAGTTCCTTGTAGATCCAATTAGCACATAATACATGACATACAACTTTAAATCCATGTGCTAATTTTACATTACTCAAACAGTAGACCAAGAATTTCATCAGTAAGTTATCACTAGTTTACATTCAGGGACATTGAGAGAGGGAAGGTTTTAAAGAATTTCAACTGAATATTCTATAGCCCTTTAACATGAATGCTGTTGAAATATCAATACATTTGTATTGTCAAGAAACTTTGGAAAAACTAAGCAAATTTGGTTATTGAACATTTTCAAAAAATACAATACGAAACCTATTTGAATATTTTGTATCATTGACTGATATGGTCCATTGGCGAGTGGCAGGGCCACACAGTATGGACCAGTGTTGTGTAACAACTCCTTCGTGGTTTCGAATCGTCTTGAGAAGTAAGTCAACAATCGGGTTGAGAGTCTCGAGACGAACTCCTCAAGCCATCGTTTTGCGTCGCGAGGCGAAAGCGAAGCCAATCGCGGCATCAGGTGCAGTGGTGAGTGGTGGGGGTCCAGGACGGGTCGCTCACAGGAAGGGCTCCACCCAGTAGCGCACGACAGGGGCGGGGCGGTCGGGGGGCCCCGCGGGGGTGCCGGCCGCGGCCCGCGCCGCGCGGCTGCGCAGCTTCACGTTCCTGGCTTGAGCACGCTGCGGTGGTTGCTGAGCATGCGCGAGGCTCAGCAGCGGCTTCTGGCTCAGTCCCGTCGCCTCCAGGAAGCTCTCGTAGTGGTTGCCGTCCGCGCGCGTGCCCGCCGGGGGCCGTGCGACGCGTGCCCCCGGGTTGGCGGGGCGGGTGGCGACGCGGCGGCGGCCGGGCCCATGGGGCGCCGGGGCCACGGCAGCGGCGCCGCGCCGTCCCCACACGCGCGCTCGCGCTCCTCCGCCTCGCTGATGTCCACGTCTTCCAGCGGAACTCTTCAAGTTGCTGCAAAACACAGCGCCGGTGTGAGGATACAAGCACGTAAACCAGAAATACTTTGAATTAATGGAAATAAACTCTCAAGTGCCGACCTGGAATCGCTAAGGCTGACGGACCGTTCTTGAATGTCTGTAAGGCTGACGCGCCTGGTGTAAGGTCGATTCGTGCCTGAAGGCTCGCGGTTCGAACTCCGCCCAGTGCATGGATGTTTGTGTGTCTATACGTAAGTGAGTTCCTCTACCGTTACCCCAAAGTTCAAAACCAATTGTGATTTCAGATGTCGCTGTTTGATCTAGTAGTTGAAAAGCTACCTTAAAAAATCCTCTTCATATTACAGACGTAACACGCACAGAAAAACAGACGTGATCTCTAAGCGCTTTGGTTAAAACATTGTTGTTAAAAACATTCTTTTCTAGCCGAATAAAATTATGAAGTCTGGTCTGTGTATGAGTATTGTGTCAAGAGAATCACTTTGAAGCGTTTTAACGTCTCGCTTCTTTTTTGTTTGCAACTTTTTCATAAGATGGAATTGCTAAGATTCTGAGTAAGTTTGGTGGAGTATTTATGACCATTGTAATGAAGAAAGACTACTGATTATTATATTGTATTTCAAAACAATGAATCGTGTGTATTGTTGGACTTGAATGAAGACTTAAGTTCATTTCAAAATGAAGAAAACATACATAGGTGTCGTTATTAACATGTATATTTGTCTAGACGTTTTGTTATCATTTTCGTTTGAAAAATATTGTGAATACTAGATTATGAGTCAATGTTATGTTTTACTCTGATTTGAAAGACTTTAACTTAATGATATTTCAGTACGTAACTCTACGTAGACCACATGTTTTGTACTAGAGAATCATCCACCCTAAATAAAATATTCAATAACATTTTTACATTTTTACATTTTGGCCACTAAGTAGAAACAATTCCATTCCAACAGAACATTTCAAAGAAAAAAGTACCTGTGTAGGGCGTCGGATGTCGTCGCGCCAGCTCTGTGACGATGCTGCGCCGCGGCGCCCGTGATGAGCGACGACACGGAGCTGCCCACGCGGATGGCGGCGGCCGACTCTCCAGCTGGCGTTGCACGCGCGCCGCCACGGCCCACCCCCGCGCGCGCACGCCCACCGCGCCGGCGCCGCCACCGCCGCACGACACCCCCGCGCCCCCGGGCCCGCAGCCGCCGCGCTCCGCAGCCGCCTGCAAGGAGAACAGCAAGTAGAACATTAGTATACACTTCATTTAATTTTCTTTTATAAGTTACATTAAAACTCTCTGTATGTGTTAATACAATACAAATATAATACAATATATATTAGCACCAAAGTCGTATTAATACACCCATCTTAACTTGCTTACACCGTTTTACTGTATTATGTCCCAAATAGTTTTTATAATAATAATAATAATAATAATACATTATCATATTGTTATATTATTGTTATTATTATGATATTAGTATGAGGCAGATTTTAATTTATTTTCAATCAAAATATAGACATGTACGCGAATGTCTCAGAATAAGTGTAACAAACTTCTGTACAAGGTCGAAGATAATCACATTTTGTCAATAAACATGTGGTGGGAATTTCATGTAACGTAAGTTACAAATACGTTTTCCCTAATTAGCAGGACAACATCATCGCTATTTAAGTGTGAACCGTTTCTTATTATCAGAACATGCCCCATTATTGAAAGGTTATCAATATAGTATGTAAGTATGCATAAATTCTCTCCAGAGTTATTAACAGCCGAAACGCAAATGTACGATTCGAAATGGTGAGAGTGTATTGGATCAGCTTGTGGTTATGAAACACATTACGACCCGATATTACTATACACGGATAAAATCATTTCTTAAATAATTAAATAAAAATCTTCAATTTCTTCTTAATTAAAAATCTTAGGTAACTTTGTTAAAAAAATGTTCAGGCAATTATCACAGATTTTAGAAATATTAATAGAGAGCCTTAACTATAGGAAGTTATCAAAAACCAGCTGATATCTTTTCAGAAGGTAACACCGGTGCCAATTTTCGATGAGAAAATAAAAACTTAATGTTCTTTTACGCACAAAGACAAAAAAACAGTTTTAAATGTCGTACAAAGGACGCCAATCCTGAAACGTGCCTCAGAGACGCCTTTAAGATATGCGTTCATGTCGCGGGGCACTCGGAAAGCCCAATCTTGCCTAGTCGTAGTTTCCACAGTTCCGCAAATTAAATGATTAACATTTTTTAGTAGAAGTAAAATAGAGCAAGCAAACTCCCGGTAATTGAACATTGTTTAATTGCATTATTAATAAAGTAAACAATTTTCATGTTTCTAGCAATAATGCTCGAAAACATTATCGCCTTAACCTTAGGATGCAGAAGACCTTGAGAGCTCTAAACGATTTATTTCGCTTTTTACTCTCACGTTCTTGCTTTTCTGAGATGCCCTGGCGTGGTAAATTACTTCTATCGTTCTATTTGCATTTAGTCACTGGCCAATGGTAAATATTCAGAAATTATATAAGTAGCTGAAATGGCATTATATTACGTCAGGGATATGTACGCTTTTTAGCCATATTTAATAGTTATTTAAAAAATAATTTTTTTTAATTAATTTTTTTTTTAACATTAAGAATTGAAAATTGACTTATATTGAAATTATAAGAAGGAGTTAATTAAAAGGATGGTTATGTGATTTTTCGAGAGCGTCTAGCGTAGGCCTCAAGGGAATATATGTAGTTCCCTGTTTCATGCATTGCTGGGGGGGCGGCTAAGCTCGCGAATAAGACGACTTCTTCAGCGAAAGCCCACTTGAGAAGGTCCTGCCATTGCTGAGGATCTGGCGGGCGGCGGAGCCCGAGGGGGGCTAACAGCGATTGCAGGAGTCTGGCGCGCGCGCGCCTCTCCTCCTCAGCCTGCCCAAAGCGCCCAGTTGAGCGCGGCTGGGCGCACGCGGCGGCCCGCCGGGCGCTTGATGGGCGAGCACGTTGCAGTTGGGGTGGGGGTTGGCGGGCGGGGCAGCGAGGCGACGCGGCGGGGCGACCCCGCCATGCGAGCACTGCGCCGCGTCGGTCAACCTGTCCAGCTTCCGGGTTGCGCTCACCACGGTGCAACGGCGCCGCTCAGCAGCGCGCACGCGCGCTCTTGCAGGCTGCGTCGCGCGCCGGCGCCGAGAGGAGGGCGACGCGGCGTTCCCCCTGCCAACACGAGCAGCCGACGTAAGCTTTCACGTTGCACTTCTCTAGCACCTCGCTACCAATCAAGATTACAATTATTTAATGATTCGTTTTCAGTCTTCGATCTTTCATTAATCCCTTTCTTCCATGTAGTAATACATCCTTTGAAGCAAATGCATTAGCAACATTTTAAAATTTCTTCTTTGAATACTATTAGTGGTTAGGCATTCATTTGTCTATTCCATTAATTCATCGACTTCAGCATAATTACGAACTGGCTATATCTCCTTCTTTAATAACAAATTATAAGTAGTGTAAGTATTAATCAATATTGTGTTATTTCCTCAACACTGCCTTCTAACCCCTCTTCGTATAACTTTGAAAAATGAAGTAAGTGATACAAATACTCCATTTTAAAACATCATACTTAAAATATCAGTAAAATAAATATTACCCAATATTCTTATTTTAAAGAAATTTACTCTTTGATACACGAAAAAAATCATGAACACTAGCCCATATCACCAATACACGAATTTAACGAGATATGCCAAAATTCAATCCCCTGATGTCAAAAAGTAGTACATCTCAGAATCTGACTTGGCCAAAAAACTTTAAACTCACAGTTAAGAAAAAAGTATTATGATGCATCTAAGTTGCAATTACCTCTACCTCAACTACAAAAAATCCTAGTTAGGTCATTACTCCAAGAGAGACAAACCCTTTTTGCACTGAGGTTTGAAATCTAATAGCCTGAAACCCGCACAGCGCATCTGGTTTACATCAACTCTATTGCAGTTTCTCCTGAGAAAGAATTGTCCAGTATATATGTTGCACGAACCGAACAAAAATACGACGAGAGAACGTGCATAGTAATCACTTTTTACATTTCAATTATTCTCCATTTCTATTAAATCTACACTATTTTAATTCAAAGATTAAGTTTAATGTACAAATATATAACTACGCTTCATGCTAATTAATACATTAATCTTCAAAATTTAATGACAATTTCTAACATTGTATAAAAGTGAATCCCGTTTTAGGAATCTCTCAACCAACAAACGGGCCGGCTAAACCCACTTGCACCCAATTCCCATGTTTTCACCTCCGTCTTCCGTAAGAGATCTTTATGTGAGTTGAATTATTGAATATGCATGTGGAATGATAAGCATAATGAGAGCAGGAAACGAGAATACTCTACAATTAAAAATCTACCAACTGGTTTTAACTTGTGCATTAAATTTTAAATGTACCAAAAGTATGAAGCTCATTTTAATGTATAGTACAATTAAGTTTATTTTGTACAATACATTAATGTACAATTAAAACTTAATGGCATTTCTGACAATGTTATTTGTCTGTCTTCATTTGTTGTTGGTACGCGTACCGCATCACTTCACCTCGGCGTCTGCGTCGTCGCCTCGTCGTCGTCGTCGCCAGGGATCGCGCTCCTCGCGGATGCTCGGCCAGACGCGGCGGCGGCGGCGCCGCGGCGCCGTTGCGGCGCCCTGCTGGGGCGCGGCGGCGCTGCGCCTGGCGCCGGCGGGCTGCCGGCCCTTCTCGCGTCCCCAGCCAAAATCTGGCTCACGCACTCCAGCACCGGGTTGTGCGCGTAGTGCTTGGCCAGGTCGCGCGCCGGGGCCTGCGACATCAAGCCAACAATCACCACCTCTTTCTTTTCTCGCACTTACTTCGTAAGAAGAGAAAGCATTGCAATCGTGCGCCGGAAGGATCGTGAGTAGAGGTCTCGTTAATTAGTAGTAGCTGTACGTAGTGTTGATATCAACAAATCGCGGACGATGCAACGCAAACACATTTATTGTTTACACATTTTCAACAAGTAAGTTATCGCATTAAAGAGTTTAAAGAATAACAAACAAAATGTTATTTTCCTATACAGTGTATTCTTAGTACCAAATAGGTAATTTATTTTAAGCCTTAAGACAACGTAAATTCTTCTTAATGAATACATAAAAATAGCTACAAATATGCATGTAATAATGTTTTAGTAATAATGTATATAATTCTAGATATAAAAATTAATTTTTCGGTCAATTTCAAAATAGCAATGGACTAAGAATATTAAATGCATATGCTATAAATGAGTTTGGATTGTCAATAATACATTCTACAGTGAAGGTTTATTGAATAATAAATCTTTGCTCTACGGTAATAAATTATTACAACTACAGTGTAATAAAATATCATTATTGCAGTCAAGTTCTTATTATTTGGAAAGTGCGGAACAATAACTGAAAAGTGAAGATTTCAAAATCTAGTACACGTTTCTAAGTTTTCCTAATAACATGCACTTCAGGAACAGGAAAATAGCTAGAAAGAAAATAATGAAATAATGTAGAAAGACAAGGATTTGAAATGACAAAAAAATGAGAGTGACATAAATAGGTAAAAAGTCGGGTGGAAGAAGACGAAGATTCAAAATAGGATTGGTATGTTAACGTCTTTTCAACTGGTGGAGAGGCACAGTCAGCAGAAGCCTACGCAGCGATCTGCTTGCCCGATTAGCATCTGGCACTCCAAAGCACGCCTTCCTGCTCCGACAGCACGAAAAGGAGCAGTATTAGTTTACCGTTGCAATAATCTGCCATCAGTCTTGTTGAAATACACATCCTGAATCCGTATCGTGCAAAGAATCGACATCTGCAAGAACATGCAACGCGGAAGTGGCAGAAAAAGAATTATGACTTTCTGGTTTGCAATCATAGGTACATTTTTAACAACCAGTCAAGTGTTATTACTACCTGAACATTAAAAAAGAATTTTCTTTAAATTCGATAATAAAATTGCAGTCTGTCTGAGGTGCCAACTCTACCGAACGTGAGAAATTGTTCGAAGTGTCAACAGAAAGAAATTCCGGTTTGATCATAAACATTTGGATTGCGAGAAGCCTCTCTGCAACAATAGATCTTCGTTTGCAAGGCCTCACGGCTTCCTATAATGCACGAGCAAAAGCAAAGAGCCGACCAGAAACATGAAGCACTTCAACTCTGGCACGACCGATACTAAT